TAAATTAAAAAAGAAAAAAAAAACAACATTACCTGGAATGTGTTATTAGGATGGTCAGCATGTCAAAGTTGTGTCTACCAGTGCAGCAGTAAGGATCACTTAGTTATATTAATGTATCACTTTCAATGCTGAGAATATTCAATGCGGTGAACACATCTTTAGACAAACGTTGTCACTTCAATAGTTTTTAAAATCATTTTGAGCATCCATAATAATGATAAACGACCACCTAAATAATCAATATTGGCAAGAGCGTTTGCTAGTTAAGGAAAGCCGTCTGGATTCCCCCAGCCCCAACCCCTCGTACATCATTCGATAAAGGTTTGCATGAGAAAATATGAGTTCTTCTGTGGACCTATTGTTTGCTTTAACATAAAAAGTTCAAGGGTCAAAGGTCATCTGTAAGTTTCAGAACTTCATTAGGATATTTTTTTTTTTTTTTTTTTTTTTTTTTTGTTCTTTGACAGTTAGAAGCCCTTCTTCATTTCTTGCTTAGAGACGGGTTGCTCAGTCGCTCTTCCTTTAAAATTAGATTCAATTGCGGATTTTATATGAATAACAAATTGAAACTGAATGTTTTTAAATAATTTAATAAAAAAGTATTTTGTTTAAACCAGTGGTTCTTAACCTTTTTGGAGGTACCGAACCCCACCAGTTTCATATGCGCATTCACCGAACCCTTCTTAATAAGAAAAGTAAAACATGAATTTTTTTCTGATTTTTTTTGGACCTCCGCCGAACCCCTGAGACTGGCTCACCGAACCCCTGGGGTTCGATCGAACCCAGGTTAAGAACCACTGATTTAAACCCTTCAGTTTTGGCTCATTCCCATTGTGCCGGGTGAAAATAGGGTACACAAACTGGCATAATTTTTTTTTACATCGGAGGAGACTACCATTATGTCAAACTAATTAAAAGTTTGTCACACTAATGTAAAGTATGTCACACTAATGTAAAGTATGCCACTCGTATCAAAAGTATGTCACACTAAAAATGCTTTCACTTCCGTCGCGTGGATTCCTTACCATAATCTTGTAACGGTTTTATTTTTAAAAGTTTGGTGTTGTTTTGAGAGGTCTTTCATTGGTAGGCTTCTTTAAGTTTTAATCTTACGCACAGATACAGCTTCCCTGGTTCCTCTTGATGTGTACAACGCGGTGTATTGCCCCTCAGAATGTGTACAGCGTGGTGTATTGCCTCTCTGAATGTGTACATAGTGGTGAATTGCCCCCTTAATGTGTACAAGGGGTTGTATTGCTCCTCTGAAAGTGTACAACAGCGTGTATTGCCCCTTTGAATGTGTACAACGGGCTGTATTACCCCTCTGAATGTGTACAATGGGTGCATTGCCCCTCTTGGTATGTACAACGGGCTGTATTAACCCTCTGAATGGTTACAACGTAGTGTATTGCCCCTCTAAATGTGTACAACGTGGTGTATTGCCCCCCTTAATGTGTACAAGGGGGGGGGGTATTTTTATGGTTAAGATGATCTCGATTTCTAAAGTTTGTTTCGCAACAACACACAAGCATGTAACATTCGTCCCCAGTTTCTTGACTAATGTTGTGCGGGCCGTTGTGCCGGTCAGTGGACCCCCAAATAGGGGACGCTGAATTAAAGTATTATTTAAGGTCCAAATTTTTAAGGATTATTTAGGGGTGGATGTGTGGTTTGAAAGGATGTTTCTGTTACTGGCGAACTGTGAAATCCAGATAGTCTATAGGGGGCCTACTAGTGGTCGGCAAATCACGGCTCGAGTGCCGCATGCGGCTCTTTAGCGATGTGGGTGCGGCCCGGCCAGAACTCGGTTTTGACTCCTAAAAACATGATTTTTTACAAGAAATTTGGCTCTGAAATTTTTTTTTAATAGTCCTGCTGCTGATATTTGGCTCTTTTGACTATTGGGTTTGCCGACCACTGATCCATACAATGCCCCGGATCTCACAACATGCATTTGACATTTTGATCCAATTGTAGGAAGAAGTGCGGTGTCAAATTATGACTAAGAAGTGGAGACCTTGTTTTTTCTAAATGGGAAGAGAAACAGCAGAAATACTTGGGAGCATTAAACCTCATCTCTTTTCCACTGTCCTTGGCACGACCCTGGGTTTTAGGGAGTGGGGGTACAAGTACAAGACAACCTCTAGATTCGCTGTGTAGTACACCTTCGATCATGTTATCGTATGTTTAGAGATAGCGGCCGGTGAACACACCGCATTAACGCAACAGCTCCGGTGCGTCGATATATTTTTAACCTACGTGTAAAATATCCACAGGAGCACGATCTTTGGACCATTTTTTTGTTCTAACATTTTTGGCTTTTAACTTGACGACTTGCTTTGAGCATTATTGATTAACTTCTTAATCTGAGCAAAATTTAACAAACTTTTGATTGACGGTTACACCAGTAGATCTCAAAATGTTATTTAATTGAACCTGATGTCAGTAAAATAGGTGGCAAAGTAAGAGGCGTAAGTTCTGAAGAATGTTATGTTGCCCTCTTCTTTAAAAGACTTCAATCATAAGTAATTCAACTAATAAAATTGTATCCCTAAAGTAGGATGAAAACATTGGGATAAAAAACAAAATGATATAACTTGAGTCTTGAGGGGCATTTATTGCAGCCATTTTATAACAATTTAAATTTAAACATTCTCTTTCACATGCAATAGATTTGTGCTCGTTTGAGCTTTGATTAGTATTATTTTAGTATAGACCAAAGGGGCATGGATGGTACACAGAAGTTTCTTGAATCTGTCTTCAGCAAAGGGGCATGGATGGTACACAGAAGTTTCTTTAATCTGTCTTCAGGTCTTGAAATAAGTCAAATAAAGTTGATCCCATGTCCCTTTACAAACAAAAATGTTGAAATATTTATTTTTTTCAAAAATCAGTTTAAAAAATCACAAGACCACATGCGCTTTATAGACTTTTAAAATAAAATATTTTATTCCTTGGGGACCTGGTTGAAAACACAGAAGGAAAATGCCACAATAAAGATGATCAGTAACAAAACATCACAGGCATGAGAGTGACTATTAAGCATGTTTTCTATTGCACTTCCTTCCATAGATCCTATTGTTACAAAGGTTACACACCCACACTGATGTAACCTACAAATAACCATAGAAGAAGAAAAAAAAAAACCCACCCAAAAGCAAAGAAATATTTTGTTCACCGTGTCAACTAGAGAAATTTGAAATAACTAATGATGCAGTTAATGATTCATTGGAATTTTTTTTAAAGTTATGAAAAGAATGATGACACCAAAGGTAAAAAAAAAAAACATCAGCCACATCATTCTGACATTGTTAAAAGTGAAAAATGGCTGATAATTTCAGCAGATGAAAAAATGTATATGTTTCCCAATGTTTTATATTTCAGTAGGTCCACTCGCTTTAACAATATTCATCGAACAGTAAAAAAACCACCTTTCTACAAACAACTGATTTCCGCTACTGTTGAGCTGTGATTATTCCATTAGCAAAGCTGCAAAATATTACAAAGCGATCCTCTGAACAACATTAATTAAACATATTTAAATTCTTAGAATTGCAGAAGCACTTTATTAAGCACTGGCCAAGTTTAATTTAAATCTTTTACATAACCCTTGAATGTTTCTATTTAAGTTTGGAGTCTCCACCTTAACAAAAACAAAAAAGTGGCCTGCCAGCCTAAATGTGAGGCAGTTGTACAATGAAAAGCTGGAATGACGCTTTAAGACTGGTTGATGGGTGGATGATGGATGTTCTATGAAAATGCTCTACTTGTAAACAGAGAAACAAAGCTTGCAAAATGTCAGGAGTCAGATGATCCTACAAGTTTATGAAACATGGCTAGGTGTACACATTTTATTCAACCTTTCAATCAAAATATGCCGTTTACAAATGTGAACTCTGAAAAAAGAATACATTGATGGGTAACACATTATAAGATTTTCCCCCCAAAAAAGTTGTGCCATTAGCTTTAAGGTGTTTCCTCCCAAAAAACATAGTGCAATTAGCTTTTTAGCTTGGTTTTATATAATACACATTTACTGATGAACTAACAAAAGGCGACTGATTTCAAAATTTTCTATATTGATGTTGTCCTGTCTGTAGGACAATGACCTGGTCATAGAATGATTGCCTAAATGCTTGTTTTGCCCCATCCCCACAATTCCATCAACTGTCCAGTCTTAAGGGACAAGCTTGTACAAATACCACACCAGGAACTGTTATTGAGCTTGACAAAATGTTCACCTTCTTCCTATTTCTTTTTATCCAATAGTTGGCATGGACCACTGACATACAAGTACATTGAAAATGTGTCATTTCACCCCTTATTAGGTAGGACCACCGATATACTCTCAAATGGTGAGTTCATGTGACCGAGATGGACAGCTCAGTAATAAAATAATTGTTTAAGTCATAAAAATTTGGCGATGGATTGCACCTTAAGATAGAACTGCAAGTTCTAGCTGTTATATGCTACCATCAAGACATTAGATGCTGATGATGTCAATTGAAGTAAGATTAATCTTAACTTGAATTTGTCACCAAATTTATGTAAACTCTGGATTCAGACATAAACTTTCTATGCCTTGAACATAAAGAATCAAGCAATATCATTATTAATCCTTTGTGAAATGTTAACTATCTCATCTATATACAGGTGCAGTGTCTGAACAAACTTCCTGAATAATTTTTATTATGCTGAGAGTTTAAAAAAAAATAAATATCTGGCAACCTTAAACGTAACAAAAATTTATACAGTATTTACAGTGTAAGTAGGTTGTGTAAGTCAAGGTATATCTTATCTTCACGCTCATTTTGAAATTATACAAAATACATTTTTATTGCAAGTACAAAAAAAATATATATATATTTCTAATAATAGTAACAAATTTTCATATTATATTTAAATACTATTAATTTCCAATAATAAAAAAAACAATATTTTTAACAGCCAAGCAGTTATTGATAACAGCATTGGTTCAAGCAAACATTTGAATTTTGGAGATTTCATGAAAAATGTCTTTCCAATTTATAATGGTGAAATGATCTTTTTGTATCCATAATTTTTTTTAGCTTGAATCAAAATTAGAGTAATAAACTGACAAAATGTATGTGTCCTACCTCAGAACCAAATACCTTATTATTATATTGACAATGTGAAAAAAAAATCCCTGGCAAAAAGAAATAAATTCACTAATTGCAATAAAATACCTGATAATTTAGCTAATTGTCAATATCGTATTTGGAAATTTGTTTGAAGGAAATTTCATTGACGGGAAATTGATCGAACAGAAGTTTGGTCAAATTTTTTGTTCAGTCCACACGATAATATTTTCTTCAAATTTCTTTTTGAACGCACTATACAATATAGTAAAACAAAATAATGCATTCAAAAATAAATTTGACTAAAAATTTTAACGTGTGAACTGAATATGAAATTCTACCAAACTTCAGTCAATAAATTTTCCGTCACTGAAATTTCTTTCAAACAAATTTCCGGTAACCTGTCAATATATATTATGTTCTTGTTAAAATACTTCACTATTTGCAAAATCATCAAATTCAAACATAAATTTATAATTTTAAAAAAGATATGAAATTTAAATGTAAATCGGTATGATGTAAGGTTCTGGATTAAAAATTCCAATAAAACTTTTCTTTTAGGCAAAAACTTCATTTAAATCTATATTTTCTATTAGATCTGAACATTAATATGTGACGGTGTCCTACAAGCAGGCATAAATGATCAAGTAACATTGTCATTAGACATGTAAATACTACTCTCAATTATCACAGCTCTCTTATTGCCAAAAACAACACCAAAAAACAAAAATACATAAATACAATTCCTAACTTCAATATCCAAGAAATGTTTTTAATCGCTTGTCAAGCCTAAATGTTAGCACTTATTTTATAAATAGATTATTGCAAAATTTTACAATATCAAGAGGGCACCAGAATCATTGTAAATTCGAAGTCTTCCTCTCATTTGAGTATGTCTGGTTTTCTTCAAACGTAAATGAAATAATATTTGTATGGTGAAAATAAGGGGACATCATTAGAGTAGGCCACATTATCTATCTGCCGTTCTTTATTGGTTGAACACTGGCTCTGTTGGTGCTATTGTTTTATAATGTTCATTTTATTTTGATGAAAATGTGGAATGTATACTATCAGTACGCACACAAAAATACCAAAAAAGTTTGAAATGCAAATCCCAACAAAAATTACCATCATAAAAATCTTTTAAAAAATGAATGATTTAAAAGATTTAAAGCAATATTTTAATATCCTCAAACTGTGACTTGATTCTAATGAATCACTAATAGAAATTTTCACAGAATACTGTTGGCCTGTTTTTATGAGGACAATGCATTAAAATCTTCATTAAATACCAAAGAGAAAGAAATGTACTAAAGACTAGTGTCACGACCTAGTTACATTAAGTGTCACCACAATGGGTTCTTGACAAACATTCCTCTCCATTCAATGGACTCGGCCTCCTCAATTCTCTTCTTCAAAAAGGTGATGGTATTCTCTAGCTTCACAACTTCCTGAAATAAGCAAGATATTATATTTAATAAACTAGCGATAGATTAACCTTAACTCAACAAATCTATGTTGAAACAGATGACTGTCAGATAGTTTCCCATCATGATAAAAGTTGCAATTCATCAACTTTATAACTAAACTGATAACAATATATTTCATGGCAACTTTAGGTTAATGGGACAAATATATTAAAGAATAAATATACTGATAGCAGCATTCTTTCATTCCAATTATAGTCATTTTAACAATTAATATGTATTTAGTGATTGCATGTTTACTACCTGCTGAACTTTCTCTTTCCTTTTTTCTTGCATGTTTCCCATACTTGCTTCAACATTTGTGATCTGAAATATCACGAATTTTAACAATGAAAATAAACGCAAGACAAAGTGTGCTGGCAAGCATATGTTAAAACAGAATAAAAATTAAATGTAAAAAAAAGATTCCGTTGTCTTATTTGGTGAAGTGTTTCTATGTTCAACGAAGTACCAGAAAACAAGAATGAAAAGCAGTTAAACATAAGACCAAGTTTTAAAATAAATGTAGCTTCCTTTCCTGTCACCATGTTTGAATTTGAGTGGGGAAAAAAAAATCTTATAGGCCCTACTAAATTTTTTCATTCATTTGAGTTTTACTAAAACTATAACAATTGGTGTGTACCCTTTCCTGGATGTCCAAGAGCTTGTTCTTCAGAGATTCAGCATACTGTGTAAGCTCAAGGGAGTTTGGCTTTGGTTCCACTGAAAATAAATTTGCCTCCTTCATTATCAAAAGTGCTCAACTAAGCACAGTGAATTTTGAAATATCAAGTTGCAGCTGAATTTATTATTTGTTTATGTTATTCACAGAAATTATTATTAAAAAAAGAAAATTAATTTTTTATTCATAAGGAAAACTCTAACTATAAAGCATATTGTCTTCATAAAACATATGGTTTACAAAAAACATATGGTTTGCATTAAACACATTGTTTACATGAAACAAATATTCCTTTTAAACCTACCTGATTGAAAATGTTTAACAACCTCTAATGTAAATGGCCTGAAAAAAAATAGTGGATGAAAATACAGTGTAAAATAAAGGCAGCTTATCAAAATTAGATTTACTGCAAATATTAGTTTGCTTTTTCATAGTTCAATTATTTAAAGTACTAGTAAAATCTAAGTTACTCACCTTGAATTTAAATTTGGATGGATAATAATTTTTCCATTTAATGGTATAATTGACCCTCTTGAATTTCTAAGCTATGAAAATATAAGAAAATAATTTCAAAGTTTGAACATAAATTGTGCTAAATTAATAAGTATATATTTTAATTTTTTTTTAAATTTGTTATTCAGAAATGATTGTGCAATACACACCAGTGCATATATGCCACACTTTGTAATATTTAAAATAAGATGAACTGCATTCATTGTTGCTATGTTTATCAATGATCTAACATATTTTGCTATGCAGAACTATTATTATTATAACTGGCATGGTTAGAAAACATTAGACAGCCTTTAAAACATCTTGTTGAATATACAATGATTAAAATGTCAAGGGAAATAATTCAATTTATATTGTTACTTCATATATCTGAGATGCATGACTTCACTTAGAACTCTAATAGAGCATTGTTTTAACTTTCTTGCATTCTGGGTATTTTTCTTCTCTTTTGTATTGCTCTTACCTTGCTCAATGTCAGAGTCTGATTCTAAAGCAGGCAAAACATTCTCTTGGCCGGATGCTCATTAAAATTAGTATCTGATTCATTCTAATTATAATTTAGGAAATTTAAATAAATCACAGATTGATTTAAAAGTTATTGTTTCACTAGACATAGTGTCATCCATGCTGTTCAAAAAATGGACAGAACACAGGGTTTGCTTTTGAGAGGTTTGCCAATTAGACTCTCGAAAAAGCTAAACCAAGCTGGAAATTATAGAAATCAAATACAAAGTGATAGATATGTGGAACACTCAACTCCTTTTTTGGAAACTGCTTTAAAGAAGTGACTAACTTATTATTTAAGGAAAACTGTAAATTAAATGAAAAGTAATTATGAGTTTCCTTACCCGAAGTATAAGATCAGAACTATTTATCTGTAACTTTGAGCGAATGATTTGGCTAACATCAGCAACTTTATCCTCTTCCCTCACACTAATAGAAATGACACTTGAAGGCTCCAGCTCTACAATGTGAAGATATCTTAGTTAAAAAAATGTGTAAATATGCTAATTAACAACTCAATATTGAATTAAAAGAAAGGGAACAAAATGTAATTATTCAAAAATCCCATTCGGATATCATTTGTGGTAGTTTATTTTAGTTAAAATGAAGAAGTAAGTTTACAAACATATGGTCCATTCAATTATATTTCATTTGATACCTCATTTTGTCTTACAAACCCAACAATAATATTTTTAATATTTTTTTAATCCCAACCTCTCACTTCTGATACCTGGGTGCAAATAGTCACAGTCACAGCCTTACTTTTACCATTAAATAATTGACGGCCTAGATCCAGATTATAATTTGGTAAAAATTTATTTCTCAAGGCCTCAATCTTACCCAAGGTTTAGGGTTCATGTCAGGTTAAGGTATAGGTTTAGGGTGACCTTTTATGTGTTGTGGCAACCAAGATGGCTGCGGTGGCGTGCATTGTCTGAATTTACCTTGGCTGCAGCAGACAATTCGTGCAATGACGTCATTTACGCTTTTATTTAACTGAATGGGTTTAGGGTTCAGGTTAATGGTTTAGGGTGACCTTTTAAGGTTCGTGGCAACCAAGATGGCGGCCATAGCGCGGATTGTCTGAATTTACCATACTCATAGTCCATATTGTCTACTTTAACTTTAGCCAATTTATTTAATAGTTTACATTTATGTTGGATTAAAAATAAACTTTTATTTAAACTAAATATAGTAAGTTTTTACTACTTAGGCAGGTAGTCTATGCCTACTTAACTCTTACTTACTTAATTCTTAAACTTAATACAATAATTATCAATAATTATATAATTAATTAACTTAAACGCATAAAAATAATGAATACTATTTTATTAAGTTTCCCATTTAACAGGTTGGTTAACAACTTGTTTAAACAATCATAAAATGCCGCTTAAGAATGAATGATGAAAGCATACCGTTTAGATCGAGCCTCTTCACTGCTAACAAAATTATACTAGTTTCAGAGTTAGCCATCTTTGTTGGTAGTGATAGGAATTTAAATAGACTCACTCGCAAAAGAGTTATGTTGGTTGTTATCATATTATCAAGGGACATAACTATTAGGTCATAACTGTAAGGAAAATACCAAGGGGTTTAACTGCGGTTTAGTCATTAGAAAGTTTAAAAGAATTAAATAAAAGTAAACGTAAAATTATGATGTAATTTAATTTGTAAAGATGAAATCTTTTTATCCTTCTAAAATTTATGACATTACTCTACCAAGCTTAAAGAATGTAATGAACCTTGGGGTTCATCAACCACTTGATTTACCAAGAGTCTTGGCCTTGGGAAGACCCAGGAAACTCCAAGAGTTACAGTGAAATGGAAAAATAATACTTCCATTATAATGGGCAATGAAAAAATAATACCATGCCTCGTTTGGGGGTGGGCAAAGCTAAATTACTCTATACATTTGCATTTTAGAAGGAAATCCATCCTGAGCTATGACGCAAAGAGTCAGATCTGGGTTAAACACACTCCCCCCACTTCCCAAAAAACACCCACCATAAACATTTTGAACATTTTTAGTAAGTTTGACACAATTAACAAATATGTTGTATTTAAAAAATGTTTAATAAACTTGAACTCAAGCATAACAGTTGTTTACTGTGAGTTGGTTCAAGATCCTCACAGTGCCATCTAATAACTATAAAATATAAATGTACAAACATATTTTCCTTCTATAAGCATGTTAAGTTTTCCTTCCTGTCCATTCAAGGAGGCTTCCAATTCCAAAAAGAAAATATCAATAATAAGTAGGAACTGGTATTTGTTTCACAAATTGTTTACATTTTTATTTACTGAGTAGCATTTCCAAATACAACAAAATATTAAAATATTTTAAGTAATCAAATCTAACATCAACGATCAATTAATGGTCAAATCTGATATGTGCTTGTGTAGCCTTAAATAGTACATAATAAAAATATAATTTCATGTTCATAAATGAATTGTACAATATATAAGACTAAAAGTTTAATTAGGGATATCCTTTAAATATTTGTCCAATGAATACTAATTGTTTCACTATAAACTCCTATCCAGTGTTCACAGTTCTCTTATCAAGTTGGAAAAAATTTGAATTAAATTAACAAATGAATACTATCAAAATCTTGCAATTTAACTGCATTTGCTTATGAAAACATTTATTGCTATCTATTGATCATTTGAAAGAAAATTAAAATCAAAATGTAATATTTTTTATGATACAAAATGTACATTATGACATCTATCTTATAAGGTATTGATACTTGATTTCACGCTACCGGAGAAATTTTCGCAGTGGTTTTGCATGGATTGGCTGAAGGGCATGACCTATGAAATAAAAAACAAGTCCAACTACAACAAACAATGCCATCACTGCAATCAGACTGGAGCGGTACACAATACTGTAGTCATAGATCTGATTGGAAGAAATGGAGGAAAATATCATTTAGACATTTACATAACAGCTGATTCCCCTCCAAAATATTATTAATTACTTTATTTAAATTAGCTTTTATTGGGCTGTGGTGAAAATTGTGTCATTATTATTATATAATAATTTGTGATGTTATAATTAATATTTTACAATAAATGAGTCAGAAAATGTTTGTGTCAGATATTAAAAAGATCTGATTGATGAACACCAGGAATATTGTTTAATTTTCTTTATCATTGTGGTAGTTGTTGCAAATTTTGTCTGCCAAGTAATGTTATTGTGAGGTATAATTCAGTTACTTAAATCAGGAGTTCTTAATCTGTGGTCTACAGTCCTAGTAAAAAGTTGTCAGGTATCCATGGAGCAAAAAGGTTAAGAACTGCTAAATTAAATTAAGGCCCAGACTTACCACAGCTTGCTCTTCTGAGGAAGGAAACTGGCTTTCTCTGGGTATAAATATCAAAATGATTGAGATGACAATGGCTATCAAAATTGAAACAGGACCCATTTTGCTGAAATTGAATAAACAAAAAAAAAAATTATTTTGTACATTTCTTTATAAGTATCTACTCATATTTACATAATTTTTAAATAAAGCATCCCCGTAATCCTGTTGGATGCAAAGCACCTTTCTTTAGATGAAGCTGTGTATTTTAGTGATAAGCTGATAAGAGATAAATAATATAATCATTTAAAAATGTAATTCCAAAGCTAAACAATAAATAAGACCATGTCCACTGGTAGCTTTTGAGTAAAATTCTTTTTCACCATCATTGTTAATTTTCTGAGTTTATCAATTATGACTTAGAGAACTAATTTAACATGGTTGATTTAGAAAATAAAAATTAAGGTTTTGGAGGAGGTGCAACCGCAAAACATTTGCCATTTTTTATCCTGTTTCCTTTAAAAATAATGTGAAATATTTTACTTTCCATCATTATTGTTATAACTTAATTTAATTTATAAGTAGGCCTACTGCAGGATCCATTTGCATGATTATGGGATTGTTTAGTGCTGCGTTGGAAAAGTTTTGAAATTGCAATAGGGACTGATGATGGCAGATTTATTAATCATTAATTACAAGAAGTAGGCTAACTAGTTAGTTAGTAAGTTACTACTAACTTAGTAATTAGTAGCTTACTTTCAATAAAAGCACTATGAATATGCCGCCTAGCTCTAAAACTAAAATTAGAAGGCCCACTCTTTAGACTTAGTCCATTTTATAATATTAATAGTAATAATATTAATTAATAAAAGTAATAATGTGGCCTAACTTTATTAAATTAATTTAAAGTGACTATTAGTAACTTCAATGTTTTCATGTCCATGTACTTCCAGTTTTAACTTTTTTTAGTTAGAATTACTTAACTTATTAAACTTATTTGCACCTTAGTTAGTTATTTACTAAGTGAACTCAATGTTTAAAGAAAGAAGTTACTAGTTTAATACTTATTTTATCATTAGCTGTTATTTACAGTTAGGCCTACAGTATTTAGCAGGCCTGAGCTGCTTTTTTTTTTTAGTTTGAGAGATTACTTTGAGTTTGAGTTAATGAATGTTAGTGAGAACTTACGCTATTTTCGTCGGGGATCTTGTTAATGTAATACATACTGCCAATGCTAAGACCCAAATGAATGCTAAGATGAAAAGACCTATGCCCACGTTCAAAACAGGGCCAGCCATTCTAATGTTCAGCTTTAAATATACTTGATATGTTTTATTCTTTGCTTCTTATGAAGAACAACTTATGGAAACAAGTCTGAACGGAAGCGTCCTTAGAGAAGTCTGGCTATATTCCAAGAAATGAGATATACCGAAAATAATTGCGAGGAACACTTTTCATCCCTTACTTTTGCCCAGTATTGACTGATTTATTTATTTTTCATTCGTTTTTTTTAAAAATTATTTATTTTGAAAAATACGCTCCTGAAAATTTAGAAGTGAACAATAAATATTTTTACAAATTTTGCTCTGGTGGAAACTTTCTCTGTTTGAACCCTGATCTGATGCAACCGTTTCTCATGACAGTCTACTCTGAAGGCACACTACTCTGTCAATTTACAATCTGCTCTGATGCGATTCTGTTCTGTCGAGTGAAAATCTGCCCTGATGGCATATACTGCTCTGTCAAGGGACCATCTATTCTGGGGGCAACCTGTTCATGTAAAATTGACTGCGTTCTGTTTTAAAAATGGACTCGAGCGAATAGTGTCAAATTTGTAATTTTTCATTTGATTTCAGCCCCGTGAGAGTGTCACCCCCCTCCCATGAGAGTGTCACTCCCCTGCGAGTGTCACCCCCTCCCATAAGAGTGTCACCCCCTCCCATAAGAGTGTCACCCCCTGTGAGAGTGTCACCCCCTGTGAGAGTGTCACCCCCTGTGAGAGTGTCACCCCCCCCCCTGACGTGAGAGTGTCGCCCCCTGTGAAGGTGCCATCCGGTGTTGTCTGCAGTCCCTAGTATGTTCCCATCGATCGTGATCTTGACGTGTCGAATGAAATGAGCGATACCGCTGCGTGCATGGTTTTTGTGATTTGCAAATAGCGTTATGAGTGCATGGGTGCCTCACGCTTTTTAAGTCATATGGCTGTCTCTGACTGTAACAACTCTGACTGTAACAACTCTGACTGTAACAACTCTGACTGTAACAACTCTGACTGTAACAACTCTGACTGTAACAACTCTGACTGTAACAACTCTGACTGTAACAACTCTGACTGTAACAACTCTGACTGTAACAACTCTGACTGTAACAACTCTGACTGTAACAACTCTGACTGTAACAACTCTGACTGTAACAACTCTGACTGTAACAACTCTGACTGTAACAACTCTGACTGTAACAACTCTGACTGTAACAACTCTGACTGTAACAACTCTGACTGTAACAACTCTGACTGTAACAACTCTGACTGTAACAACTCTGACTGTAACAACTCTGACTGTAACAACTCTGACTGTAACAACTCTGACTGTAACAACTCTGACTGTAACAACTCTGACTGTAACAACTCTGACTGTAACAACTCTGACTGTAACAACTCTGACTGTAACAACTCTGACTGTAACAACTCTGACTGTAACAACTCTGAAAATGTTATCTGAAAAAAGCACCGGTACTCATCAGTAGTTGATGGCGATCTTTAGGTTAGCTCCCTGTTCTGTTTGTCAATGTCCCTCAAACCAGAGCCGCGCAGAGGCTGAGTCAACCGAGTAAATTCACTCGTGGCCCTGTCCGTACGGGGGGCCCTGTCTACATGGGGGGCCCTGTCCGCATGGGGGCCCCAAAGGGCGTTAAAAATACTATTTAGTTCGATTCCATTTAATTATTTTTTTGGTTGGGGGTGGGGGGTGGTTGGCTCGGGTCCCAAAATTCCTCCGTTTTCCGAATTCCCAAAATTCCCTGATTCAAACTAAAGCACACTCTCCCCATAGACAGTCTTGCCAAGTAAACTCTCACCAAGCTCATTCTCACCATGGACACACTCACCATGCTAATTCTCACCATGCACAGTCTCACCAAGCACAGTCTCACCAAGCAGTCTCTTCATGCACAGTCTGACCAAGCACAATCTCCCCATACACCCTCTCACCATGCACAATATCACATGCACAATATCACCATGCACAATATCACCATGCGCAGTCTCACCGTGCACACATCATGCAGAGTCTCACCAAGCAGTCTTACCATGACCATGAACAGTCTGACCAAGCACAGTCTCCCCATGCACAGTCTCCCATGCACGCTCTCCCATGCACAATATCACCATGCACAGTCTCACCTTGCACAGTCTCACCAAGCACTCTCAGGGTTTTATCACGTGATATAATCGCTAGTTGCAATGATTGTTCACGATGCTGGCAATTCACAAACTTTATAAATTCAAAATAGTTAGTCTCTTAGTGGTAATAAACAAGTTAATCTCCAGGGTAAACACATTTTATAACTATGTTGTTCATTGTGAATTCATTCAATAAGTTTAATGTTTCTGTGGCAATCTTTCCTTGACTTTAAAAAGCATCTACTTATTTACTTGGGTGGTCTGTTCAGTGTACTTTGCCAAGTGTACATGTATTATTAATAGACGCTCTCAGAACTGTTTCTCTCTCTCTCTCTCTCTCTCCCTCTCTCTCACACACACTCACATATAATTATGAGGACGACAATTTGTCTTAGTTAACTATAAAACACGAGGGCGTTAATAATCTTATTTATTCGCACAATTGAAGAAGACATTAATCAATTATAATAATTTCTTTCAGATCAATAATAATTATTTGATGGTTAACGAGAAAAATAAGATTAGAAGGACTCATTTATATTATCTTGCGTCACCTCCCAAAACTATATTACAAACAAGGATGGAATAATGAAGTCTTACAACGCTCAAAGGCTTTTAATCAAACTGTGTTCTGGTAGAACGGGGCCATAGCAAACATCACATTGCAAAGCGCTGGGTCCACTCTCGTGCGGTTTCAGCGTACCTCGCAAAGTCTGTTTTATAGAGGTGAGCTATTTCTGGGACTAGGTTGTCGTCAGCGTTGGGTTCCATTAGTAGCCAGTAGATGGATGACAAAATCTTCGAGATGTTGAGACCCGGTGACCAGTGATCTCTGAGCACATCCAGCGATATGTTCCCGCCGGCGTCAATGTTGGGGTGGTAGATCCGCGTGGCGAACGTCACCTTGGGCGGCTTGAAGGGATAATCTGTCGGGAAGTGGACGTCGAGTTTGAAACAGCCCCCGGCGTAAGGGCTGTCTTCGGGCCCCATGAGGGTCGCTAGCCAGTGGTGCACGTCTTCACCTGCGGGCCCAACTGTGCATGTCGTCGGTGGTTCTTCTTTAAAAGCTGCCAACTCCTGCCACAGACGGGATAGGTGAGGCATAATAGTTCTTCACTACTTTTCAATAATCAATACACTTTAATTGGCTTTACAATTGTAATTAACTAAATGTTATTTTTGGGGGATAAATGTTCTAATCTTGAATTGACTAGGAAGGGCGGAAATCTATTTTTAATCCACAGGGGAAGGAGGGGGGGGGCAAAGTCAAAAGTTGGCCGACTTGTTTAGTTATCACAGAGTTATTCATGTTAACAGTTGATTGATGATGTTTGTGTTAACAACTGAAGACAATTAATTAGGGTAATATTTGATCAACCTACCTTTGAAATTCGTTTCATGGCCATCTCATCACCATGTGAGTATTTTAACTTTCATTAATTTTTTTTCCTCTCTAAGGAATAAGAAAAAACTTAATGATAGCAAAGATTTCTTAAAGCCTACTTATTTCTTTAAAATTACAATGATATAACGTTTACATTGATAAAACAGGCACAGTTTAAAAACGAAAGACAACAAATTAAAGTTTGTCTATTGGTAGGCAAGTTTTTGTGTGGGTTCCGGACGTGTATGTTTTGGCCTCCATTAAATTTCAAACACCTAGTTTAAAGTTAAAGACCTTCAAGTCGATGACATTACTTCCCTTCCCTATACCAGTTATATAACATTTTCCGTCACCGATTCTCTCCCCTCTTTTTTTTTGTTTTTGTTGTGCACAAAGTAAAACCCTAACCACAAATCGTCATACACATTATGTGAACGCCTTCCTACTGGATGCATGACGTCTTATATGGCATCCCCCATTACTTATGCGACGTCTTATATGGCACCCCCCTCCCCATTACTTATGTCATCAGCTTCCCATACCATTATGCAAGATTTATATAAAACAATTCCTTTCAAATCGAAATACAACCCATAATTCAGCACACATTTTTATATTATTAAGCTACCACTACCATATATAAATGTATTTTCAGCTTTGACGATGCAAAGTCAGCTGTAAGGATGATCTCGATAAAACTGGGTCGAAGATGTGCAATTTTTAACATTTGCGGAAGAATGAGTCTTAACAAACCGTGACAAGAAATAGCTGTCCTTGAACCTGAAATCATTACATTATAGCACGGGTGTTGTGAAGTAGGCCTAACTATTAGTAGTATTCGCGAAATCTTTGTATTGTAAGTTACGAGTACCGTAAACAAAACGGTAGTTATGTAAAAGGTACATTTTTTTTTTGGTTACCGTACCTTAATTCGTGGGCAAGTTTTCGTCATTTTGGAAATTCTTGGGCTAACTAGGGCATGACACCTGTATAAGATCAATAGACTAAAAATAGTATCTTGCGTATCAACATGTTTAAGTCAATTACTTCCCCCTTGCCATAACAGCAAATATTAGGGTGAAGTTCCCAGTTATTCTACAAGTAAAAGCATGATAACCATTCTTGATTGACAACATACGCTTCTCCATTCCCTCACAACGGTATCAATTTAAATTCCACTTCCATGTTTAGCTCAGTCTCTTTGAAAGCCATTCATGGTGGCCAGTACTAACTAGTGCTGGTATGTTTTCCAAGAGCCATGCCTGACACTCGACTACTTCATCAATTTACGGTACCATATCACACTTGGGATGCATAATCTCATCTTTAAACATTTTTTAAGTTCTAGAAAAAAAATATACTTCAACACTTTTTAAGACTAGTTGAAAAGCTTTGGTTCATTTCAAATAGTTTTAATAGGCTTTTGTTAATCAAATAATATAGACTTAGGATTTTGATTTTGCTGAAAATTTAGATAAATTTAAAAACAATTAAATTAACACTATTAACAGCTAAATGTGAAATGTCATCCACTCTGCTATTTCCAATGAGTTAACTCCATAAGAGTAATAGCAAAGGTAGGGAGGAAAAAAAAAGCATTCTAAAGATATTACTCTTGATACTTTTAAAAATCGCACAAGACTTAAGTCTGCAACTGTAATATTAAAATAAAATAAGTCAACTCTCTACAGGTTTTTATGTTTATTTTTCTCACAAGTATTCCAATGTCAAAAATTCAACACAAAACTCATCTCTCTCATACTCAATAATACAACATTAGGGATGGAACTTATGAAATGAGGTTGAAGCTTTCTGTAAGTATAAATACAAATAAAAAATTAATAAAGAAGCATCTATCTCAAGCTTGGGTCTTAAGAATTTTGAATTAGCCTTCGATTTCATCACGAGCCTAGATACAGTTTAGTAAGTGCTTCTCTTGTCACTCATCCCTTCAGCTTGCAGTAACACTAAAAGCAATAATGCTATTACCATTACCACACATTAAAATTGTAAAATGCCTATTCAATTGTATATCAACCACAAATATTTGTTTTAAAAAAAAAGAAAAGAAACTGACTAATAATGCCAATTGTGATAGGAAAGGCAAGGAGATTATTTTACATGGCTAATCCGAAATCGAGTGCTTAAATCTCCTAACTGACTTTGAATTAAAAATAAACCAACTGTCACGCACGATGGATGTTTAGTTATTCTATTGTGTAATGAACAAAACACACATATGACTTCAACAATACCAAAACACAACCCCACCAGACAAAGAAACTTAAAAGTTTTAACACAAGCATTTAAATAGCATAAAGAAATTTAGATTAAATTATTTAAAAAAAAAAAAAATACAAAAGAAAATAGGAGGAAACATAACAGCTAAAGTTTATGGGGAAAAAAAAATATTAACACTAAGTGTGAACCTTTATTTAGGCTTTAAAAAAATATAAATAAAATGTATACCTCCCTGCTGTGATGTTGTCAACAAAATTAGGCCACAGAAAAACCTTTTAGAATACCAGTCTGATAAAGATGTAACGAAATCAATTCACACTAAGAAGCATAAATTATCTAACTACTTTCTCTCCCCTCCTTTTTTTAAACCTACAAAAAATCCATATCATAATCTTGATATTTTTTCGAACAGAATAAAAATTATCAAAAATTTTCATATCTATTGCACTTTGAATCTGAATGCTTCAACTGCAATAATCAATAAATTTATTATTCAATATAACTATGCAAAATAATCTCGCCTTTTAAGAATAAAACCTGCAAGTGTAGTGTAAATGTTTTACCATAATTGTGGCAAAACCCTAATAAAAAATAAACAATTGACTGCAGTTAATTTTTTTGTTATTACCGTAATGCATAATATGAATGTCTGAGGAAAATAGAACAGAAGAGATTGATGCAAAATTTTTTCAAAATGTGACTGCTTTTTTACAGCCATATTGTTCAGTACCGGGAATCAACAAGAGATTGCTAAAGCACTTAAATTATTTACTGTTTACCACATTGTTAAGTAAGACACGGTATTGACATATCAGAAAAAGAATCCTAATTAGCTGATAACAAAATATCCATATTTGCTAAAATAAATTACAAGTACAGAAATTACTACCGGTATGTATAAAAAAAACCAACAAAAAACTGTATGCTTGTAAATATATTATTTCACACTTATTAAAAGTGGAATTTAAAATTATTACAAGACAATACTTCAGCTTAGATTTTCCATTGTTTTGATTTCTCTTTTGTAAAATTTAAATAGAAACAAAATTTGGTTAATTAAAAAAAAAAATTTAATAAAAAAAACAATTAAGGAAATCCTACTATAAGATGAAATTTGAGAAACAAACAATACTAATCATCATAACTGTGCCTTCCTTTCTTCAGTCTGATTTGTGTAAAGACAGAAAACTGCCTTCTGTATTAGAGTTAGTTTACAAGTTATCCTAAATGATAAAGCTGACTGAGGTGTTGGTAGAAGGGGGCTAACATCACATGGCAAAGCGCTGGGTCCAGCCGCGTGCAGTTTCATTGTATTTGGCAATATCTGTCTTGTAGATGCGAGCAATCTCTGGAACTAAAGGATCGTCTGGGTTGGGATCCGTTAATAGCGAGCAGATTGATAAGAGGACTTTTGAAATAGTGAGGGCAGGGGACCATTGGCCACGCAAAATGTCCAAACATATGCTACCATTGCTATTGATATTGGGGTGGTAAATTTTTGTAGAGAACGCCACCTTTGGAGGTTTGAATGGATAATCTGTTGGGAAGTGTATGTTGAGATTGAAACATCCACCAGCATAAGGACTGTCTTCTGGGCCAATGATGGTTGCTTGCCAATGAAATATGTCTTCTCCTACAGGCCCAGCCGAGCAGTTTGTCGGTGGGTCTTTATGTAAATCCATTAACTCCTGAAATAAATAAAACATTGTAATTATAATCCTTTAATCAAACATTTAAAAGAAAAAAAAGCTATTGAATAAAAATAACTTTCAATAAAATAAAAAAGAACATAACTTGCAAGTAATTAAAAAAAAATTTGAACTAGTTTACATTCAATACAACTAGATATTCAAACTTGTAAGTAATTTTAAAAAATTTGAACTAGTTTACATTCAATACCGGTACAACTAGATATTCCAACGAGCACACTTTATTGCAATGGCCCTAGTTAAGTCTTAGCCAGACAGTGATCATGATGCTGCTATATCTCAGCATAAAAAATTTATAGCACTTGCAGCTGTATCAATAATGTATTCAATTTCAAACTTGTACTGCTGTAATAACCAGTACTCAAACCGAGACTATGTAAAATGTTACTGATTACAGGGAAACTCCATTTAGATTAAAATATCACAATGTATAATAGTAAGCTATCAAAACTTGCTTGTCAGATTTATATCAACACTAACACACAGCTTGCATGAAACAGTGTTGTGACTTAGTAATGATTACATTATTATCTAGCCCATTTCATACTATAATACTGTACTGTACTTAAGTTTGTTATAAAGACCACATCAACTTCAGACCAGAACACAACCCCTACCAATAACTGAAAAATTATCTGAAATATACATACAACTATGAAATGAGTACAACAGACCTAGTTTAACTAAGTTATAAACACATCTGCACCAAAAAAAAAAAAAAAAAAACCAAAAAATCAGACCAGAACACAACCACTAACAAAAACTGAAAAATTATCTGAAATATACAAACAACTATGAAATGAGTACAAAAAACCTAGTTTAACTAAGTTATAAACACATCTGCACCAAAAAAAAAAAAAAAAAGCCCACAAATTTCATCTTCATTTTGATAAGGAAAATTATATTCACCTTTGAAATCCTTTTCATAGCCATTTCGCCACCTGTACCTATGATAGAGCTGCTCCTCAACCTGGTTTAGTTAATAAAACATGAAAGCATGTTTAAATATGTATGCAATAGAAAATAATTTTGTATTCTTCTTAAATGTTGTTATAATCACAATATTCTATTGAGGGTCATCATATAGTCTACATGTTCTTAAAATTAATAACTTTTCTGACATATATTTTCCCATCTACACCTAAAATTGATATATATTTCTGTATAGCTCGTTAGTAGAACAAGATTAAATTTATTTACAAGATGCAAAGTTTTAGTGGTTTTTGAAAAGATTAAATATTTTTACTACGCATTCATATCATTCTAATAAAAGAATCTTAACAACATGAATCAAAAGTTAAAGCTATGCTATATCGATAAAAGCCCTTGCTCAAGGCTATAGAAGTAGGGGCCTATATAAGATATCTCATGTAGTTATGATGCCCCTCTATATATATATATCTCTTATTATGTATATATATATCTTATTATATATATATATATATATATATATATATATATATATATATATATATATATATACACACACACACATATATAAAAATACATATATATATATATATATACACATATATNTATATACACACACACACATATATAATAATACACATATATAAACATATATACTCATATATATATATATACATATATATATATACACACACACAATATATATATATATATATATATATATATATATATAATATACATATACCACTATATATAGTCAGTCATGAGACTGACTGCTTCCCCTCTGGCTAGTAATATAATAATAATAAGAGTAAGAGGTTTTATTTAGCGCGGTACCCCAGAGAGACATAATCATGACATTAAAATAAAATACATTTAAGAAATAAATAAATAGTACATGTAGGTCAAACTGGTTTGCACCCTTATTTTATTTTGTCAGAGTTAGGGATTTAGGCATAATTTTTAAACTTGTTAACATTGCCTCGGACGATGTTTTAGTCCTACACAATCACTTAGACTATTAACTAAATGAGTACAGTCCATAATGCTCTTAGGCTGAGACCTAGTATAAAAACCTTATCTAGGACATACTTAGTGGTAAGGCTGGCGATGTCTTCCAAGATATATAGGCCATGGAGGTTAACCAGACCAATTACCGTATTCAAAAGATCTCAATTATTATTATTAGCTCTGTATTTATTTTTATAAAAGTAAGAAAATAATTTATTATTTTTGTCTTGAAACTGGAGGGAGGGTCTCCCTTCCCAGAATATTATCTTGAAATGTAGGCCTACCATGAAATGATTTGCATAATTGTACTTATTTTTTGAACCAATCATAAGACAGCAAATTAGCCATATGCACAAATATTTTTCACTAGTGTTCACCCTGGGATACCAGCTAGGATGAGTTTATTTCTTTTAAACATTGTAAGTTAAATTTTAATAAAAACAAAGGGAAATTATCACAATATATTTATTATGAACTGGAGACCTATTGATATTGATTGTCAGATTAAGATTATGCCATGAATTAAGCTCAGTAAAGAATCGGGATGTTATTATACTAATCGTTCAGATCCTACTATTGGTTTATTCATTCTGTCAAGTGTTGGGATTCCCCTAAGTGACATCACTGGGCTTAGAATGAGCCAACTCTTGGGAAAACCCATACCACTAAGTCAGTGACTATGTACAGTGTACACCTTTATAAAAAGGCAGTGTCTACATGTCCAGCGACCGGACAAATGGTATAAGTATAGGAGCTATTCATCCGACAGGCACGGCATGCTTTATTTAGAATTGTCACTTTTTAACCATTTGTTAATTATATATGTTACGTGAAATTAAGTTGAAGTTAATAGTAAGTTTAAAACACTTTAAATAATAAGGGAAGATAAAAAATAATGCTATACTATATCTGATTAGCGGTCTGACAGACAAATATCTCATGTAACTTTGTTACGACTGTCATGAGATGGATGAATATCTTGAGAATTTATTCGCCCGGTTGCTGGACATATAATCACTTCGTTACAAAAAACCTTTTAGTTTTTGGAGACCCATTTTTAATACAAATACAAGCCTATAAAAATTTAGGCTAACTTAATTAAATTTAATAATTAAATTTAGTTCAAGTTTAGACTTAGACTAAATAAAATGTTTAATTTATGAGTATGACGTTTAGCATCATAATTATAATTTTTCTGCATGTAACCAGAGTAATGATAATGCATGCCTCTCTAAATCTTAATAGTTTAGTGGAAGGCCTAAACCTAATCCCTACTATATATGGTAAGCTCTGCTGGCTAAGGCACCATTGGGGGTGTGAATTTCTTTGTTTTAACTTTTGTGTTGTGCTCCAGATGGAATCACCGCACTCCAAGTATAAGTTATAAGGCCTCTCTCTCTCACCTGGTTTGGACTTGGTAAGGCTAGGGTCAGGGTAACATTCTTATTAATAAAAATATGAATCTGAAACTAGCTCTGAACCCAGTCACAATTGCTGGATCTATTCAATGTCAGTAGAACTATTAATAACATATTTAGTTATTATTTTTATTCAAGATACACAATGTGTAGATTACTATCATAATTGTTTCACAAATCATTAATTAGGAACAGTCAAGATTTTCAACAATTTCCTTTCTCTTGATCGTATGACACATCAAAATGGCAGCAGCAACCAGAAGTCTAAGTGGGAAGGTAGCTCTAATAACAGGTATTTAAAATCCAAATTATTATATCAATCTTACCCCTAACAAATGAAGACAATTTAAAGCAGCGAGACTCTCTGGTATCGTAAAAAAAAAAAGTTCTACTTAATCAGAATGAAAGGTTGACAAATAAATGGCCGACTGTAAGAACAGGAAATTTGTCTCGTTCTGATCATATGCCTATTTTTATTTTAGTTCCGGTTTTACCTCACTGTTTTGTGTTTGTCTCCCTTCTTATACTCCCCTTTCTAGAAACCAGACCTGTCGTTAAAAATATGTAGATGGAAAATCCGCTATTTTCTTACCACAGAGAAAACACTATAAAAAAATAACCTTATGCATACATAATAAATTTCATGGTAATCACTATAATCTTTCACTATAAATTCTAGTAAAAATTACTAATAATCAAATATCAGTTACAGTTACAGTCTACATTTTCCACTTTCACTTTGTTTTAAACTTTAAACTTTCTACACTTAGTGAAACTTATTTTTTTTAAGAAGGCTTTTTGGACTGCTTTACTTTGATGATTTGATCATTAATAAAGTAAAAAAAAACACACAAAAATGTATAAATTGCTGAAATTTCGCATTTGAGCATTAACTTGAAAGGTATTTAGCCTTGAACAACAAGTTAGAGTTAGATGCTGATGGTCCATGGTAGACCTGATACTGATAGTATTTAAATTTAATTATAATATTTCAAAATATTTCGTTTTATTAATTTCATTTGAAAAATATTTTAGTAATCCCTAGCCCTAGCCCTAAGCCCTAATAATAATTAATAATATTTGATAATAATATTTATAAAGTTAAATCTGTTTGTCCAGTCGTTAGTCCTTAGATCTGAAGGCTGAAACTGAAGGGAATAAGTATAAGATTATTATTTAAGTTAGTATCAAACTGCATTATTTGAGCTTTTGGCTTCCATAATGACATTTGAAAAATACAATTTTTAAACATAATTAGTATAGTTATAAAAAAAATTAAGGTGTCTCATTTCATTTAAAGGGCAAATACCAAAGTCGTTTTTAAGACCTAATTATTAACGTTATTACCCCCCTTAATATAAAAAAAATTGGGAAAGGTTCAAGGGAAAAACCTGTGATGTCAATTTTTCGAGATTTGCAAGCTATCTCCCTTGTTGCTACATGCCATTCAATAGAATAATATGAAACATAGGCCCAACTGTAGTTAAATTATGAGTCAAGCAAGAATTAAAATTTCTTTCAACAGAGGACCATTGTTAATGTTAGCCAAATTTTTTTGTTTGATGATGAGATTTGCAGAGAAGAGGTTTAAATAATACACTCTTCGTATTAAAATAAAATAAATAGCTTATAAGACTAGTTAATATGTGCAAATAATTTTATGTAGTTAAATTATGATTCTAGCAAGAATTAAAATGGCTTTCAACAGAGGACCAATTGTTAATATTAGCCACATTTTTATGTTTGATAATGAGATTTGCAGAGTGTTTGTGGAGCGCCATCTTAAAGTGTTATTTACAGACTTGCATACATCAAATTATGTGCTTTATCTATGCTTCCTACAGCCAATTTTCAAATGGTTATCATTATGCACTTTTCTCACTCGTAAATAAAATGTCAGAAGTACACACTTTGCTTCACCATACTTTACTTTTTACCCTCTCACCTTCTGAAACCATCCGCACCTCTCTATATGCTCCTCCATACTTTCCCCTGGTATCTCTTAATCAACATCCCCTTTAGGCTCATCACCCATCATCCCTTACTCTCACCACTTCCCCATCCCTGGTTAACCCTATGCTTTACCCCACAATCGCACAATTATCTTAAAATTCCCCCCTTCACTTCTGCTAGACTCCCTGACACCTTCAATGTTTCATTACACCTCCTCCACTTTCCTAAATACCCTACTCTCATTCCTACTATCTCCACGTATTCCTGAAAGTCCCCCTCCCCCAAATTTTATCTAGCTTCCATAAATACCTGTAGCCCAGAGCAGTCGCTAGCTGCAGAAAAATTACGTCCAGCTGAGCAGCCCAGCTATTGCCCTATTAAATATTAGTGTAGCTGATTCATGAAACTTTTAAATGCGTTATCTGTTATCTGCAACAAAAAAACATGTGCTGGCATAATTATTGATTCACAGAGAATGTTATGTTTAACATCATAGATACAAACAAATTACATACATTTTTCAGGTGCAAGTAGTGGCATTGGTGCTGCCACAGCAATACTTTTCTCAAAACTTGGTGCTTCACTAGCACTAACTGGACGAAAAGAAGAAAATTTGTCAAAAGTTGGGGAACAATGCAGCCTTCATTCTGCACAAAAGGTCAGTTTATCTTATAATAACTGTTCGCATGTCAGATGTTGTAATGTTTTAGGGATATGTTTAAGATGCAATTGTAGATGTATTGAAATTTAATTTTACTGAGTCATTTTGAAAAGATATTTTAGAAAAGTGTATGTAATAGGCCAGATTATTTTAAGTGTTTCAAAATATAATTTCTCAACCAGCCTCTCCTGCTTGTTGGTGATGTCACTAAAGAAGAAGATGTAAAAAAGATTGTGGATGATACGGTTAAACACTTTGGCAGACTGAACATTCTTGTAAGTGTAAACGATAATGACCCAAAATTATGCCATGGTTCTGTCCATTGGTGGTGTAAGTATAAAAATGAATTAATAAGCGGTAAAATTCCATTAAAGCATTCACCTGCAAAATTCCATTTTCTTAATGACAAATTTACAACTAAATTAGTTTTTAAATTAATATTTAAAACTCTTCTGCTTTATAAAAGAAAGTGAGTTGTTATGAAGAAGAAGTATGTTATAGAATTTCTCTCTACTTGCATTTCCTGCTTGTATGTGGATGGAGTGTAATACATTTAAACAAATGGTAAATTATTTTATAATTTTAAATGCATTTTCACTTGTCTTTGATAGAAAGTCTTTTTCAAAAAGTTTATAAAATATATATTTATATTTTTTAAAAATCTTTCCCTTTATAGACTTGGGTAGCTCACTAAAAATTATATATAAAAAAAACCTAATAAAAAAAAAACTTGTCTGATTGTAATCCACAATGTTATATGTAAACTGTACATCATTATAAAACCTTATAAAAAAAGCTTTTTTAATCATTGTACACAATATGTCAGGGAGCACAAACCTACTGGCAGCATGCCATCTGACAAAAACTTGGTAGCTCGACCGATGCCAGTTGTACAACACCTTTATTAATTCAATTAGAGCTCCTTTTCATTCTTATATAAACATACATGTGAAATTAATTAATTATAATTTAAATTGAAAACAATTATATCTTGATTAAATCTATACAATTCAGCTATTAGTTTGTTGGCAATGAGCAGATATGTTATTATCTGAGAATTAAGTGCAATAAGAATGAATAATTAATTAAGTACATTTTTTGGTGTTTATTTTATGTATTAGGTTCAATGACATGCAGCCTTCAAAAAGTTCTCACAATTAATATGGCCCATTAAGCCATTTGAGTTGGCCATCCCTGCTCTATGTTATCAGCTATAGACCTTTTCTATTTAATATGTCTTCATTCGTACATTAAAATTAAATAACTGTTGATCATTCAATGATTTATTTGCTGACTTGATGTAATTCTGATAAAAATGTTGATGTTAATGCAGCCTTTTAATGGTTGATTTTTTTTTTTTTACTAAATTAAAAATTATTAGACATTTAAAATAACCTCAAATCAGATGGTTTGATTTCCATTTCAGATCAATAATGCAGGTATATTGGAATTGGGTAGTATTGAAAATACATCATTGGAACAATTTGATCGAATGTTCAACATCAACGTCAGGTAAGTATCACTGAATATGTAACATGCACATTTCCAATAGTCTAAAATTATTGATATTTCGTTAACTCTGTGTTATTTTCTGTCTCCTGTGCTCAGCGTACCTTTGATTTTAAAAATTCTTGTTTATTTTTAGCCATTAAAGTCTTTGAAGTCTCTTTATTTATACTATACATAAACTCTTCCCTGGGGACAAAATCTGGAAAGATAAATTACTGTGTATTGTATCAATAGCATATCCTTAGACATATTATTATGTAATCCTGGTCATGATATTTTAAAGACATTTGACTTACAGCAGAGCCAAATTAAAAATATTCCAGTCTTTTCACAAACAATTTCAGAATGATGAAGGGAGAGTCATTCAAATATTTTATGCTTTGTTTCCGTTTAGCAGATTTTTCAAATTATAAACATTTTTGAGTTGTGATGAATCAATTACATTTTTTTACATGCAGGCATAATGAAATTCTAAAAAAATAAACTAATTTTCTGCCCGTTAATAGTTCTTTGGAGGTGTAGACTACGTTTTAATGACCTTGTAGTTACCCAATTAGCTAGTTGCTATTCTTCAAGCCTTAAATAAAAGTACAAATACTACACAAACTTTTGAATAAGTTATGCTTATAAAGAGCACATTTATTTAAAAAAAATTTTTTTTATTGGTCACAACAAACACCGCTGCTCATCCACTGCATTCTAGCTAAAACCTCAGTCACCTTGATCAAGTCTTGCCATTTTATGGAAAATAGGAAAGTACTAGCGAGTGAGGCTGATAAATTGTGCAACTCTCCCCAATGTAAAACAAAAGAAACCGCAGGTCAAGGCTACTACTCAACTTGAATATAGTCTTGGTCCTTTTCACATGCAAAGGACAAACAGTAATAATTATAATTGTTTCCTCACATTGTTGACTATATTGTAATAAATTGCCATTTACTGTCTTGCGTTTCTATAATCAGATCAATTTACCAGTTGACAATATTGTGTACTCCACACCTCGTGGCTTCCAAAGGAAATATCGTCAATGTATCCAGTGTAAATGGTATCCGCTCTGTAAGTTTTAAACGATATTTTTAATTAATTTTTTTATAAACAAAAAAAATTCTTCCTACTTGCCAGGGGGTTATTTTAAATGACTTGGCATTGTTTAGCATTGCCTGTACAGTAAAAAATGTCTGATTGTAACCCCAGATGAATTCTGTTTAATTGAGTCAGTCATAGATTTATGACAAGTTCTTAAAGAATGAAAATAAATAGGATTTACATAAAAGAGAAGAAACAAGAAAATGCAGAAATGCTTAGCTTCCTGTGGGTCAAAGTCGTGTTTAGAAATTGGAAACCATAAGAAACAATTCTGCAATTTATGTAAAGATGTTATAATATTTTTTAAATTCAAG